TCAGTGTCCCCTGAGTGAGCCTGATGCTCTGCAGCAGTTCAGCTCGACTGAAGCCCTTGTACTCAGGCTGAGGTGTGGCCTCCAGTGCTGAAGTTCATCCTACCTTTGTGAACTCTGTAGCCGAGTGACTAAGGGATTCATCCAAGGTCACTTAGCAAACAGTGGAGGTGACAAGTTCCCAATTCCATTACAGGTGCCTCAGGCTTTGTCAGGAGTTCAAGGTCAGGGAACCCATACACCAACTCACAGGAAGCTAATGACATAAAGGAGTGGGTCCTGGAAGGATGTCCCAGCAGCCCTAGCCAGACTTGACTGCTAGCTACAGGGGAGTGGCCCTAGGAATGCTGAGTATCCATGCCATTCACTCAAGAGCTCACAGCCTTTAGGAACCAGACCACGTCTTTCTCCAAGCTGAAACCAGCCTTGGCCCCTGGCCCTGCAGCAGCCCCTGACACCTGACCCAGAGCCCCAGGATTGTCTCCTGTGTTCTGAGATACCTAGACAACTTTGCCTGGGCACATTTCTGATCTCTAGCCTTTGTGGTATCTGGTATCTCCAGACAGAGATGAGAAGTTGTGGCCCAGCATCCATTGGCAGGGATGGCAGGTGTGCGGATGGCCTCCAGGGCTGGACACAGCCTGTCAGGAGGCAGGTATTGTCTCATGGCAGCTAATTGCACTTCAGGATAAGCAGAGCCTTTTCTATCCCAGCTTGTTGAAGCTCTGGTCTCAGAGCTTTGGGTTGTGGGAAGCTGTTTGAATTGTAGGGCAATCCCAGGCATCCCCAATAAACTGTCCAAATGATTAGGGTGAGGGCTGGTATTGAGGGTGGAGGTTAGAGTTTGGGAGTTCTATCTGCCAGTACTTCAAGACCTAAGCAAAACTGGCTGTGGGCGTGGGAGATGAAAGTGTTAAGGGTCAAAGATAAGATGTCATACCAGACACCCAGGAAGTGTTGGGAGGGTGTGTTGGGAAGTGTTATATAGGCCAGATGAGGGGCTTTTACTCAGTGGGTAGAAAACCCTCTTCTGGTGCTGGGAGAGCTGGGGGTGTAAGGATTCCTGAGCTCTGTGGACATCCTTTCTGGCCAAGTCCTACACTATACCTAGTCTTCAGTAGGTAGCATGAGAGTCCCCCTGGCCCCACTCTGGGTCAGGGACAAGTGGAGGTGGATCTGTGGAGCTGCCCAGGAGCCATAGTTGAGAACAAGGGAGGAAATGATTTAAGCCATGTGTTTCATGCTTGGGTCTCGGAGGTGGGTAGGTATTGGGCTGAGAAGGGGATTCTGGGAAAAGATCAGATTTGGATCAGATGAGGGAACAGGAAGCAGTCAAAGGAGTACTTCCTGTGTGGAGGACTCCAGGTCAAGTGCTTCATGATGAAAGTGTTTCATGCTTCCTCCCTCTCCCTCCCAGTCCATGAGGCCCCAGGCAAGGCTGTACCCTGTTTTTTCATACTCAGGCTTTATTGAAGCAGCAAGCACTAACAGATAAGTTACAGATGTGTGGTCTCAGGTATTCTCCACTGTGGCCCACCCACAGCTTCATCTCCCAGGCCATCACCAGACTCCCATCCCCTCTCTACCCATTGCAAATAATTTCTGAGACCCCTCCAACCCCATTTCCTTCAGCTCCAACCCCAGGAAAAGATGGAGCCCCAGAAATTGCCCTTAGTTTTCTGACATGATTTCCATCCTTCTGTGGAGATGACAACTCTTCTTTTTTTTTTTTCTTTTTTTGTTTGGTTTGGTTTTGTTTTTCGAGACAGGATTTCTCTGTGTAGCTTTGCGCCTGTCCTGGAACTCACTCTGTAACCCAGGCTGCCTTGAACTCACAGAGATCCTCCTGGCTCTGCCTCCCGAGTGCTGGGATTAAAGGCGTGCGCCACCACCACCTGGCTGACAACTCTTCTTAAGGCTTCCTTGAACTTCGAGAAATCACATTGCTCAGTAGTACAGTCCTCTGGTGGATCTGAAGGCTGGAGGAACACATGATCAAAACCATCTTCTTCACAGGAAAAAAACAAAGGAAACTTGCCTTCCCATCCACAGGGGAAGTAATTCAGGGAGACACCCCCCACCCCCACCCCCCACCCCTGTGTCTGAGCAAGAGTAGGGAACCACCTATGACATTGAGATCTAGAGTCTGAGGACCAGAGCTGTGGGAAGGAAGCAAAGAATGTGATGCAGATCTCATGTGCTATCCCAGATAAGGTCTCGAGGGTGAGCAAACAGGGGTCCGTGGGACCATGCAAGCAGAGAGAGCACAGCTCTGTCGTGTCTCTCCATGTTCCCCCACACTGCAGTCTCCTCAAGGCTCTCCAAGGGGCTCTTCAGCCCAGAAGAGGCCTCAAGGGTGTAGCAACCTGGAACGGGCTTGGTTTTCCTTTGTCCAACTGAGTCAGGGACCAACCTGTTTGACCTGTCTCAGACCTGCCCCACCTGGATCCTGGGTAGGACACAGGCAGAGACCCCCAGAAGTATCCTTGAATTGACCCCCCTCCAACTCCATACAATTTTCTACTCCTCATTCTCCAACCTGTCAATGAGGAGATTTCTTTTGGCTTTGAGATGATCCCAAAGGATACCTGTATGGCTTGAATCCCCCACCTTGGAAGAAGCAAGTAGTGTTCAAAGACCTCTGTCTCTCTGGATCCCATGCTGTTGTGCAAGAAAATGGAGTCTCAGGTTCCCCTAAAAGCAAGCAGCAACTTACTTCCAGCTTTATGTAGATTTCTGTGAGGAGTTTCACGTCCTTGTAAATCTTTGTTGAGTGTGGGTCCTGCTTGTCATATCTATCAGACAGCTCCTTCAGGGTAGAGGTGAAGTCCTTTGTAAACTTTCCATAGCAAAGCTCCTGAAACAGGGGTAGAGGCACTGGGGTGGTGGGCCTGCACCGCAGAATACTAGCAGACACCCTTCTCACCCACCCCTGCTCACCGTGGACCAAAGACCTTACGGGAGACTTGTGGATCCTGCAGGCTGTGCAGTGGAAGCGATGGATACCTTCATCTCCCCTTGGGATGGCTATGTTGGGAGGGTGTCTGGAGAGGCTGGCAAAGTTCGGCACTTGGCCACTGGCTTGTCGATTGACTGAGCCAGAGGTTCTGTTCTCCAATCCTCAGCATTTCTCATTTTTATCTCCACCCTGTTTGATGATCAAGGTAATCCCTCTCTCCCCATTCAGTTGTGGTCATAAAGGTCGAAGGCGTTAGATGCTTCTTACCTTACTGGTGTTCTGGGGTCTACTGAAGTAGGCCCGCAAATAAGAGAATTTGGTCATGAAGGGTCACAGGCGTGAGTGTGCGGGGATTGATGGAAAGTCAGACCTATGTAGTAAGTCTTCTAGTCCTCAGACAGTTCTTGCTCAATATCAGCACAGAGAGTCACGTGATTTTTCTGGAGAGCCAATGGCAGCTACCTTTGTTGGGGCACAATGGCTTTCTGACCCCCAAAGTACAAAAGCCAGGAACATACACAGATGCATAGTCTCAGAGGTGACTCACAGTAAGTCTACGCTTGGCTTGCTTGACAGCATTTCAGTGAAAGGGCACCTACATATGCGCATATGAGTCTAAGGAAATGTAGATGTCGCTTATCAGTTACCAATGGCTTCTGAAGAAGACAGAGGGGACCTTATTGCTCCATGGATTCTTCTCTTTGCTGAGATTCGGGATTGCTCTAAGAATTTTTATTTGCAATTGCAAATGGTGTCATGGTCTTTTTGCCTGCAGCAGATGTCTGGCTGGGACTGAGCCATCATGCTGTGCAGGCTGGAGCACAGGGATCCGTGGGTGATCACTGCATCCTAGTACCTGCAGGGACCTTAAACAGCCAGCTTCCTCAGGCCACTGCAGGAAGGAGGCTGGTCCCACTGCCCAATCCCCAGCTTTGGGCACACACTCACTTCCTGGTGGTCCTGAGAAGAAACTCAGGGTAACAAATTGGGGACAAGATCTTCAGCCTGGTTGTCAAGCAAAGACAGGATAACTACATTTCTTTTAGCCCCAAGGCTCTGGGTTTTAGTAGAAAATACCAATGAGAGTCAAAATTTAATGGAAAAATAAAAACCTATTAAGAAAAGTGTCACCTTATAGCTATGCCCCAACATACACCAAACTGACATTCTGACTGCTAAAGATTAAGATCACCCATTTGGGGGAAAGTTGGGTGAATATGCTGAGCTCTGACCCCTGTGGTTTGGTTTCTTTTTCTCTGAACAGTTAGTCTATTTGCTGATTTACTTTAAGTGGTTGAGGCCCCAAGTGTGAGGACAGAATAGGAACACAGAGTCCATGGTCTCAAAGGGAGACTGTAGTTTTGCTGGATGCCAGGGTTGACTTGTTTAGACAGTGACCACCAACCCCAGAAGCCCCTTATTTCCTAGAAAGGATGACACTCCTTCTCTGGGCCAGGTCTGCGAACCAGTTACTTCAATTTCCTGGTGAACCCTGAGTCCTTTCTCTGGAGCAGAAGCTCTTGAGCACCCCAGAAGTTCTACCAAGGCATATGAGTACTGTACCCAGGCCCATGCTGTACCCAGGCCTTGATCTTACCTCCCTCTGACCGTGACAGCATTGGCCCTCATCGATTCCCTACCTCAAGAGTCACCCCACCACCACCTACCACCCCAATCCCTCCCCTCTTAAAAATAAACCAGATAACCACACAAACACAAGTTTGAATAATTTATTATTAGGGTAATAGACATCTTGAATAAATACAGTTGTGAGCTTAAATAAATAAATAAATAAATATTTTTAGAAAATATATAAATATATAAATAAATATTACTGGTCCCCATCAGTAGAAAATCTCCCTCATTTGTTGTCCCCCGCTGCTGTGACAGAGTCAGCATTTTCAGAGAAGGTCTGTACTGCCCCCTGATGTCGCTGTGGCCCACCCTTGGTCCCTTCGAGGCAGAACTCCTGCTTTCCTGGCTCATTTTGCAGGAGCACTGAGCAGCAATCAGAGAGGTTGGATCCGAGCTGGCCTGGGCCGCCTCATTTCTGGACTGGCTTCCAGCAGTCAAAGGGAATGTCGAACAGAAAGCCTTTAAGGTTGTCTATGAAATCCTCATATGTGGTGATGTGTGTCTTACAGTCATTTTTCTGAAGGAAGAAAAAAAAAAAAGAGCACTTGAGTCCAGGTGAGTGGGTGACACAGGGAAGTAGCTGTGTAGTTCTTTGTACCACTGAGAACTCAGAGGCCAGAAGCCCGTTGGAAAGGATCAGGTGACTATACCGCTGCCTAGGTGCTGCCTAGGGCATGCACAGATCTGCCAATGGCATCCAGGGACTGTGCCCTGACAGAAGGCCTGCCCCTGTTTAGATTCATGGGGCAGCCTCTTTGGTTCCAGGTGAGAGGCAGGCAGCCAGCTGGAGGCATCTCCTCGCCTCTAAGAAGGCACAGGACTTACTCTTCCATGAGGAAAGGAAAAGGGGAATATTTGGGGTGTCTGCCCATTCTAGGAGCCCCATCCCTGTATCCATGGAATATGGGCACCCCACAGGAAAGCCCTGTCAGGAAGTGGTGCCTAGGTGCTAGCTCTTCTGGGCTTGGACAAGCTCTGCGTTTCCTCGGGCTTGCCTCACCTCTGACCTCACGACTGATAATGACATGTATGACAAGGGCGGGTGGCTCCTGCTCCTGCCGGGAGCAGCGGGCTCTCCTGCTCCTCAGCTTAGCCTCTGGGGATGAACAGGAGCCATGGCCTGTTCTTGAGGGGCTCCCGTGACCTGTCCAATGACACTTGTCAGGATCCTGAACAGCCAGAGGTCCCTCCTCACTGGCCTTACCCTCCCAGATGGAAACAGTCCTGCTTTGGGACCCTAATGCTGTGCACTCACCGGGGTGGTGGGGCAGTTCTTCTGGTAGTGGCTGGCCATCATGTTCAAGGTGCCCTTGAGTTTGGTGAGGTTGCCCCGTAGGCCCTGCTCGTATACCCTCAGGCGGGCCGGCACACATGTTGGCCTCTGCGAGAAGCATCCATTCATTGATAAGCAAAGGCCAAGTGCTCACCGAATACAGTCTACTTTCTCTTCACTCCTTTATGTTCCCACCGAGTGGCACAGGATGGGTCTAGTCATTACACCGTCTAACCGCTGCCCTTCTCCCTGCCTGGCCCAGGCCACTCTCAGCTGGCACGGCCACATTCTATAGCCTGCTACCTCAAGAGATTCCCAGTTCCGAGACCCCTAACTTTGCAAGCGAAGGCCACTTGCTACTATTCTAGGAGAAGGGGCTGGACAGAGTGGGGAAATCCCCCAAGCCTCTTTGTGGGCAAGCCTTGTTCCAGAAACCCCTCTGTGCCCCCTCTGTCGTCAATATCCTCTCTCCATGGTCAAAGGGCACAGTGAAGACTTCAAGGTAAACAAGACCATCTCATAAAGTGACTCTCACTTTCCCCATCATCCCCTGCAGATCCCCGACCTTTGAATGTTAGCTCTGCCCAAACTTATTGCTCAGTTGATAAAAGACTGCACATGACTGCCCGCCACAGGGGCATGGCTACGGACGATAAAGGCTGTGCACATGACTGCCGCAGAGGAATGGCTATGGACATCTTGACTACCCAGACTCTGCCCCCTCCGCCCATCAGTCAGCTGACAGGAGTTAAGACAACCTTGCAAAGGGCTATTTAAAACAGCTCTGCAGGGACCCTGGGAAGCTACATCAGAGAGAAGCAGCTTACCTGGACAGAGAACTCTTCAGAGACAATTTCTACATCTTCATTCTGTAAAAGGAAAGTGCCATGTTACCAAGCTGACAGGCACTGGCCAGCAAGCAGGTGGTCTGGAAACAGCCAAACTCTCTCCCTCACTCACCTCTATGTCAGGCGTGTTATTCAGGAGGCTCAGGGCTTCTTTGATGGCATTGACATGATTCCAGGGCTGGGTGACAGGGGCGGGTGAGCGAGTGGGTGCAGAAAAGCTACAGACCACAATGCCAAGGACAAGTAAGATCTGCAGCCACATCCTCCTCAGGACCTTAGCCTTTCTCTCTGAGTACTGGGCTCACTGCAGAAGAGCTCTTATATACACAGTTAGAGGAAATGATTAATGGTGACCACAGAACTCCAGGGGGGCGGGGGAACTACCTGAGTTGTGGAATCTCCTGGCCCTTATCAGCTACACATGGGGCCAGTGAGCCTTCCCCCAGGTTGTCAGGCTTGGGGGTTTTCATTAATGAGCCCTTCCAAGAACCGGCAACCCACCTGCCGCCTTCCTTGGGGGGCTCTCCCACCCTGCCCGGGCAGCCTGACCCAGCCTCTGGCTAGCCTCTCCTTCTGAGGGGCCTCCAGGCAAATTTGGACTTCCTGGCCTGGAGTGGCTGGGGCGGGGCTTGGGAGACAGGAGTGGGGCTCCTGTTTGCATCCTGCCTGCTGTCCCAGGAGGCCTCAAGGCAAGCCGTACCTTCTCTGGTGGCTCATTCCAGCCCCAGCCCTGTCCCATTCTCTCCCCAGCCTTCTTCTGAGATTTGGACCTCTCACAAGCCCATCCCATTATCTAATCAGATAAAGTCTAGCCAAATGGCACAGTTCTATGATGGTCTCCACAGACTCCCACTGCGGACACAGAGTCATGGGCAAACTTGGCCCAGTCAAGCCTCCCAGCCACCCCCATCGCCCTGACCTTGAGAGCAGAGGGAATGGCATCCAAGGGTATAGAAGCCAGCCAGACTACAGCACGTTCTCTTGTGGTGCCATCCCAACTGACTTCTTACAATCCCAGTTTACAAAGGCATGTTCAACCCTAAAGGTTCACAGCGTGGCTGGAGCTCCTGGCTGGGGCAGGTCAGGCCCCCCAGTCTGACCTCTGATTCTGGCCCTCTGAGTTATGTGAACCTCTTTCCCCTCTTCAGGTCAGCCTGCCCCTTCAAAGAGGGCATACCACTGCTATCGGTCCCACCTGGAGCCTCTGAGGCTGACTGCAAGATGGTAGCTGCCGGGTATCGGGCACAGGGGCCTCTGGCTTCTCCAGCAAGTTCTCCCAGGCTTAGTAGTTTCCTGAGCAGCCCCTTGCTCCAGCCCACCTCCCCCTCAGGAGGCCTTTCTGTGGAAGCAGGAACTGCTTCTGGAAAAGCGGCAGGCTCTTGAGGGGCTAACAAGTGTTTGATTTTCACAATGGGTTCTGGAGAAGACAGCACGTGTTTGTGTTTGCACAAGGGATCCGGCCCACACCTCCCATGCAGGAAGTCGGAGGGCATGGCGCTGCATATGTCTATCTGGGTGTGCTGGTGGGGCTAGATGTGCCTGTACTCACAGGAGCATGTCAAGGCCGAGGAGGTGCTACATAAGGGTGCCTCTAATGTGAGCCCCACTTATTTCACCTGCTTTGTGAGAGTCTTTGGGTTTCTGGCAGTGCCCTTCTGATAGGAGAGGAGGCCTCTAGGCTAAGCAATGTGTTTTCGGGCCCAAGAAGCTGATTCAGTGGACTGTTGAAATTGGACACAAGTGAGGACTTTCATGGGTCAGATAACAGGTGGAACTCAGGACAAGGCCACCAGAGTCATTCAGGAAGAAAGACCGAGGGTCAGAACGGCTGCTAAAGACATGTTTCCCGGACCCAACATGTGGCAGGGAAGTGGCCAAAAGCCTTGGGGAATAGCAGAAAGGGAGAAAAGCCAAAGTTGGTGCATACGGGCAGAGCTCCAATGGTTTGGGGATGCAGTTTGTGGGCAGATACGTATCTTTCTCCTAGAAAGATGACATCAGGGTGGAGGCGGTAACACGGGCAGGGATTCCTAGATTGCACGCGTGGAAAGAAGCGGCAATAGCATCAGACAGCCTTGCTGACTCAAGGGCCTTGGTGGGGCTGTGGCAGGGCGGAGGTGGGGACCAGATGGGTGGAGTGACCCACAAGGCCAGGAGAGAACCCTCTGAAAGGAGTTTCCTGGGAGTGTCCCTTGACATGGGCCCTGGGGGAACCAGAATCGGTGGCTGCCCCGGGATCCTTATCACAAGAGGAAGTCTTCACTGGAGGAAGGAAATGGGCCCCAAAGTCCCTCACATCCCACAGGACAGACACATGAGCATCTAAGATGGTCTGGCTCAACCTTGCGACTGACACTCCTTAGGAAGGTCTTTGTCCTCAATGGGGTCTGAGGTCCAGGAGACCATTTTCAGCTCGGTCCACAGGCAAAGCAGTCAGCAGAGCCAGGACCTGAACTCATGCCTATTCCTGCACTCAGATGCTTTCTACTACCCTGGGGGATAACTTGGGAAATTCTGGTCACCTGCCTGGTCCAGAAAATGGTGGGCCTTGCACACTTGTCCATCAGGGCAGCTATAAAGGGACACTTCTACACTGGCAGGAAGGCATGAGTGGCCTGTGACTGTCCCAAGGACATCTTGGAGCTGTAGGAGAATTCTCCCAGCAGATTCTGCCATCTATCTAGACATTGCTATGCCCCGGGCTTGGGCTCTTGTCTCTCTACTCAGCCACCGTGAATTCTGGAATATCCCAGGAAAGTACCGCTCCCTGACTTCCATTGCATCATCCACTTGATGGATGCTGTGTCTGCCGCTGGAAAGTTTATAGGAAGACTTTCCCAGGGGGTGGGGGGGGGCAGCATTCTGATACCTTTCCCATCCTGGGAAGTCCTAACCTGGCAGAAGACCCAGAATTTCTGGAATGTTCGAGGACTGTTGGGCCTTGTCCTGTCCCGGTCCCCAGGAGCATCTTTCTGGACAGATGTGGTGAAGGTGGTAGGGAGATAGACTCCATCCAGGTCAAAGCTTGTGGAGTTTTACCCCACTCTGAGACTGTGATACAACACCCTGGATGGCTTGTGCTTCCCTGGGAAGGTGGTCTTATCCCTCACTGCCACACCAGACACATAGAGCCACAACTCCAGCCTTTGGTGTCTCCGTTCCAAGATGACCCCTCCCACATTCTCTGACACTCCCCCCCCCCAATACATTTTAAAAGGCCAAATTTCCCTCTAGTTCTGTCCCAGCTACCTGGGTATCCTCAGACCCCTGGCGTTGATGAATCCTGACAAATCCATTCAGTCAAGCCTCCAGGAGGGTGTACGATATGCTCTTCGCTCTCAGAGAGCTCGTGTCTGTGTCCCTATGGGACAGAGGACAGGGACCACCAGGCCTCGATTCACAGGCACGTGGCTGAGAGTGCCAACAAAGATATGCACAAAGATCAAACAGCCATGAAGAGAGCCGTGGTGAGAGTAAATGGGGCAGTCAACGAAGGAGGTGTCTCTGAAGCTCGGGGTCCAGGTCGGCCAGCTGAGTTAGGGGTCATTTGTTTCAGTGGGGGAAATACAAGCCAGCAGTAAGGTTTGGGATGTCAGCCAGACTGGACTGGATGAAGCAAAGGGAAAGCCAATAATGTCCCAAAACACTTGGTCAATATTTTGGTCCAGCACTTAAGGCCTAACCCTGGAAGGGCATTGGGGTGTCCCAGTGGGCTGCACTGGGATGCTGGCTTTTGAGGATGGATCAAAGGTAAATAAGACCTCCTCATTGGTTTTATTTCTTACTCTTAGGGCTCCTTGCTGCCTCCCCAGGACCTAGCAACTATGCCAGCCCCACACAGGCAGGTAAGTCCTGTGGGCACACAACCCATGAAAGCACCAGGTCTGCCTCCCACAATGCCCTGCCACTGCCTGGCCTTCTCTTTACCCAGGATTCTCCCTCCAAGGTTAGGATCGTGCCCCACCCCTGAATCTCTGCCCCAAGCCTTATCGCCAACTGAGAGATCATCGGGCACCTAGAGGGGACACTGCCTTCATTTGCCCTCCTCGAAAGAATCATTGGGGATACATGTTAGAAAAAAAATTGAGGAGAAATGAGGCTAGAAGCTGTTACAGCATCCCGGCATGCTGAGGGCCCTTCTTCCCGCTGCAGAGGGAGTGCAGAGGGAGTCCCAGACCCTGGATTGGCTCTGGTACCTGCCAGCTTCAGGAACTGAGGGGTCACAACTGAAGCGGCAATTGCTGCTTTATATTTTCAGCAGGACAGGGTCCTGGAAGGAGCCTCTCATAGGACTGTTTGGGTCTTCCAGGCTCCCTCACTCTCCCCAAGCGCCTGTCTGGTCCAGCATGTCAATTGCCTCTCAGGATTTCAGGTTCCAGAAGGCTCTGACCTTGAACTTTTGTTTACAGGGTCCTTGTTTCTGGGTACCCACCCCCATCCCAGCTGCTGTCAATGTCCCTTCAGCACACCCCCCCCCCCAGTCTCTATGGTCCCTCACATGGGCAAGGCCAGCTGAAGGCCGACAGAGGTCATCAAAGGTAACCATAAATTGGGAGTGCCTACTGGTGGCAGGAAGGAGTCCTTGGGGACCTCCCATTCCTAGGACCACAGCTTCCTAACTACTCCCCTCTAAACACACACCTGTTCCCACACTCTTAGACTATGTGTGTCCTGGGAGGGTGGTGCCAAGTCCCTCATGCACCCCCTAGGAAGCAGCAGTCTCGACTGTCATGGGGGCAGAGCTGCAGGTGCAGACCTTCCTTCAGGCCCGGCCACTGTGCTTCCGAACCATTGTCCTCTAGGCCCACGCTTCATCTTCACAGGGGGATGGAGACCTCTGCAGGTCACTGCGGAGATGCCTGCAGATTGGCACCAGAGGTACTTCCTAAATTTTGCCAAGAGCTTAGTGGATGAAGACTTTTTTTCTGCTTAGGTTTTCTGTTTGGGCTAGTTGGGAGGTCTCCATTCCAGCCTCAGTTTCCCAAACCTTCAAAGAGAGGAAGGAAATCATCACCGGGATCTGGGCAGGTCGGCATTCTACATGAAGGACAAATAGATTAAATTGTCCCCGATGGAGAAATATAATCACCATGCCATGCAGACCTGCCCTAGTGCCCCAAGATGTCCCCATGCATACCCTCAAGAGGCAAAGGCAGCCTGTGCAGTGCTGTGCAGGAATCTGGGCAGGCTGCAAAGTGGCTGGGCTACACCCATTTCCCTGTAAAGAGCCAATTAGGAAACAAGACCGTCTTCCCTATTCCT